GTCAAAAAAAACTTTGCATTGTGGGTTAGCCATGTCAGGGGTGCTAGTATTGGCAATGATATCATATCCAATGATTTTTTTATTGCCATTGTCCTGCACACTTGATATTGCAAATGCTGCTTCAAGCTCATCCATCAAGTGCATGTCAAAAAACACAGTCCTTAGAATGAACTATTTTTCTTGCAGCTGCGATTTGTACAAACGAAATGAGATGTTGTGGCAGGACAGGAGAAGAGTGTCCTTACACCACCAGATTAAACCTGGGTGGGGTGTATTTTTGACAATAACACTAAATTTGTGGAGCCAGTATCAAATTGTTGAAAATGGAAAACCACCATAATCCTGCAAATATTTGTGGCAGCAGGACATTGCAATGCTTTTACAATAAACAGCCATAGATGCCCCAGAAAAAATGAACAACACACCTCTTCCAATCCCTGATGGACATCTTTTCAATATCGAGACTAATGCAATACTGCATCTTTGGCAGGTGTGGTGGGATGAGCTCCATTTGAGAATATACACCTGTGGTAGTGAGAAATCTGTATATCAAGAACTGAAGCAAGGGATAGGCTTTTATAAGCCTCTGAAATTGAGTCTGGAAAATAAAGTACATCAAAGGCTGCTCATAGTGCAGACATGATTCAGCTAATGTCCCCCTGTGGTAAATGGAGGGCATGATCCAAGGCTTCCAAAGCATCCTCTCCTGAACTGAACAAAAGAATGGAATGTGAGCCCTTTGGCTTGATGAGTGGTGGAAAAAACATAAAGAGGCTCCAAATAAGTGAAAGCTCTTCTGTCAGGTACAGTACTTTATAGTGCCCCTCCCATTCCTGCAGGAATCCACAGGAATGGGACTGGAATAGAAGTAAAATCACAGATACAACATACATTTACACCAATACACACTTCTGCATACTTTTCTCAGTACTTTTCAAGGTAATCAGTTTTCAGTATTGGTTCTAATCAGACCTTGGACAAAGAAAGTCTCATCATCCTCCTCTTCTTCCGTGTTATCCATCTTGTCATGGCCCTGTCCCCTGTTCTTGAAAGCCCATTCACATTGACACACCTTTGCCTCGTCGCTAGCTGACCTGCAAGAACTTGATCTATAGCCCTTTTCACCATTTTGACCTGCTTGGGGCCTTGACTCTGCTTGGTGGTCCTCCTCCTTTGCGCCTTTCTCACCGCCTGACTCTACTTGAACAGCTTCCTGGGCAGACTCTTTTCTGCCAGCAGACTCATCGTCTAGCTCATCAGCTCGGCCCTGGGCGATTATCTCAGCCTCCTCCCACCATGCCTCCAACTCAGCAAGATCGTGTAACGCCTGAGGTTTCTCTGTGGTATATCCTGGGGGGAGTTGCTCCCATTGATGACTTGCGCAATTATACCAACAAGTGTATGGGGCATGGGCAGCCCACTCACTGGCCCCAGCCAACCAAATGTGTGATCAGTAACCAACATAACCCAGGTCCTCGATAGCTCTGCCAATACAGCAGAATCAAGCCTACGTACCAAGAAACAAAATAGTTTAGAAGATCAGAAGACTGAACCATGTGAGTGGGGTGACCGAGGTAGATACTATTTAAATGAATGAGCTCGATGCGGTGGATTGCAAATGATGAAGCGAGGAATGCAGCAACAAGGAGTCGAACCGCTCATATGAAAGGCCAACAGGGAGTCAAAGCCAGATACACAACAAGGACGACAAAGAGTCAAATCCTGCTGAGCCAGAGGGGAAAGTGGACGAAGAAAAGGGGACTTACATTGTTGAGCCAACATGCATATACTTGCTGAAGCAACACATGGTGTCCAGTACTTTACACTCCCCCATGGATTCCAGATGGACTCCAGATGGACTCCATGGATCCACCTGGAGTCCAGGTGGACTCCATCTGGAACAGATCTCAACCAACAATTTCATCTAAAATCCACATGGAGTCCATCTGGAGTCCTTGTGGCCTCCATCTGGAATCCATGTGGACTCCAGATGGAGTTCATTGTCAAGGTGAAAGGGTATTGTTTCCAAGTTTAAGGATGTTTTAAAGTGTTACCATGATAGGAATGTTATGAATGTTTCTGAGTGTTACTGTTGTGCTCTGAGTGCATCTTCTGCATTGCACTTTCCCATGTTAGAGGTGTTAGGGTTCAGTCCATTATGTGGTTAGAATTTTGTTGCCTACTTACATCAGCACACACATTTGATACACTACATAAGACACTTGTCACAAGTTATGTACTTCAGTCATCTTCCTCAACAGCCCAATGTCCCACTTCTACACTTTCCTCTGCCTCTTCTCCTTCATCATCCTCAATTTCAATAATTTGATGAGGCTCTTCCTGCTGTGCTTGTTTTCGGATAACATGCTGAGTATGATAAAAGAGCATAGTGTGCAAGAACCAATCAAAATGTCCAGTTTTCATTCATTTGAGAATTGACTCAAAACCTCCTAGCCAAGAATTCAATTGCTCGCATGCCTAACATTAAGTCAGCTTAATAACAAATTCACAAAAAATAAGAGGCATACCTGTGTATTGAATGCATGTTGAAAGTATGGTCGGTTGTTCTTATCATAAGCCACATTGACCAGATTTGGAGCTGAACCATTTAGCGGACCAGGGTTACACCATTTGCAGCACAGATAGTCCAAGGTGTGATGATTGATGTAATGATAAGAGTCGACAATGAAACGGGTTGTTTTCTTCCATCTATTCCAACTTCCATTTGCAATAGCAGTCCGAAGTACTCGACAAGCTTTATCAATGCAAATGTAGTGTGGTCGAGATTCTTCAGTAGGATATATCTTCTCTAACCAATTGAGGATGTTGGTAGGAGACTCTGATTGTCAAATTTAACCCATGCAATTACAACGCCACATGGTGCTGTAATTGTTTCAACACAATAAAACCTGGCTGCTCCAAAATAATTATAACATCATCATCATCATCATAATGCTGAACAGTTCTGCGAAGTCCAGGTTGCCAGTCATTGCTTTCTCCAGGCCTCTGTAAGATTCTTTTTACACCTAGCAAGCTTGCACAACTGTGGTCAAGTTTGTATTTCCTCCATTCTGCCTGGTGAGGACCACATGCCAATGTATTGTCAACTCTTTCTTGAGTACATTCATGAATACGGCATTTGTTTCCATATTCTGTTTCATGTTCTTCACAGAAGGCTCCTCCTCTTGTATTTTTCAAGTCTTTGATACATCCTTCAAATGCACAATGCTTGAGAAATGTTAGCATTCATTTACATTGAGGCCAATTAAACCTATTTACCTGAGGGCCCATCACTATGCCATCCAATATAATCATTGTACAATCATCATCATCATCAACCTCCATTGCATTAGGATTGTCGTTATTGATCTCATTTGCTCTTACTTGTGCTGCTTCCCTTTCTGCAGCTGTTTCTCTGGCTGATACATCTGCATATTCTCCTGTTAAGACAGGTACAGCTGAGTTTTCATCAGCACCTATGACTGCTGCAGGGTCTTCATTAGCCATAAAATCTGCTGTGGCTTTGTATGGTTGACAGCACTTTGAACATAAATGTTCTTTGCCTGGGCCTATTATTCCACCATTTCCTAATTTTGCAAATGCTTGTTTGGCAACTTCCTCAATGGACAACTTTTCAGGCAACTCCAAATTTTCATTATTTACACTTGCAATTGTTCTAATTGATTCCTGAACAAAAGCCTGCCAAATTTGACGCCAAGTTACTTGCACTTTGGAATCAGTGACTGATGTACAATCATTCCAAAACTGCATATATGCTGAAGCAGAGGCATGAAAGTTATACATTCCACTTAGAACAGAATGGGTGGAATTTCTATCAACCCACATAGACTGTCCTATCTTTAAAAATCGTCCAGAATTCAAATAGCATTGATACCATGAACCATAGTTGTCTGTGAAACACTCATGGTCTGCATAATATGTGGCATTACATTGCAAACATTTTCCTGCTAGAACAGGAACATCTTCATAAGGAACATTGTCTTTGATTAAAGTGACCAGTGGAACATCTCTTGACCTGGTTAGTTGCAAGAGGCACCAAGAAGCACATTGTTGGTCAACACAGATCATGCTGTCTGGACAGATAGTATGAACAGTCTGGATTTCCTTATATGAAACTGGTTGTAATCTTCCTTTGAACTTTCCCCAATGATCATATGGTGTTAGATTCAAGAATTTTGCAAATTCATCAAGTTTAGTTGACAACTTGGTAACTTGATGTATTTGTTTGGAATGATATTCTCCACGACGAAATACTGTTGTAATATCATCTTTTAACTGATGCATAACAGCACGGGATAAAGCTCGAATCCAACCAGAAGCCACAGTCTTGTTTTCACCCTCAATTGGGTGTTGTTGACAAGCATGTAAATTGAGCAACTCTGGATTTTCAGTCATTGTGAACAAAAGAAGAAGTACAGTGGCTAGTGATATTTTGGAGCAAACGTCTGTTCCACAAATGCACTGAAATCTCTGAATGGTATATCAGGAAATGGCTGAGTTGTTGGAGATGCAGAGACAAATGGCAGGATGGCCACAATGATAACCAGCTTCATAAATAGTGGCAGAGTAACAAAGGCATGGCTAAAACCCATAATAGCAAGGGAGAATATAGTGCATATAATGCTGAGAGCAAGATAACCAAGAGTAACCAGACATTTGTCAAAAAAGTTCAGAACAACTGAAACCAAGCTACAAGTACAATAGATCAGAAAATGATTAGTGACTTCAACAAAAAAAAAATAGAAAAAAAGCTGCGACTTCAACAACTTCTTGTGAGACTTCTGAGCCTTCTTCTTTCCTTTCCCTGAGTGTTCTTCTTCTTCAGGACTAGATGTTCGCCGTGCTTTCAATGTTCCACCTCTTTCCACCCAAGTCTTCAGATCCTCCATTGTAAATTTTGTCTGGTCTCGAACACCCCAAATTCGTTCAGTATCAGAACGATGAACTTGTTCAGGGTCACTGTCCAACCAGTCTCTCATTTCTGGGAATTCTGTCTCCTCATCAGCAATCTTCAAAAATGTGTTGACATAGTTAGCATGCCAAGCAGATTTCCAAATGAAGACCTCTATAACAATAAACTCCGTGAAAGGAGGAAGGTCTGCAGGCCAGTTCCCAGTACTGAGCATTTCTCGAGCCTTGGTGATAGCGGCTGTACATTCCTGATACCGACCCCAAGCAAATCGAAGGCCTGGTGCAGAACGGTTTGTGAAGGTAGCATTAATACTGAGCTCTTGGATAAGACGCTTTCTCAAGGCAGGAGTTATCGTTTTGCCCATGAGCCAGTGATCCTTAGAAGAGCCTTGTTCTGAGATAAGATGAGAATCAGCACGAGACCCGCCTGGACGAGAGCCAGTATGAGAGCCAGAATGTGCAGAAAGAGATTGAGTTCCTGCAGAAAGAGACCGAGTCCCCCTAGTAGTACCAAAATGGCCAGCAAAGCCTGGTACAGATAAAGAATGACTGGGATCATATGTAGTCTAGCAATAAAACTCTTTAATTATTCTGAGATATGTTAGTCAATATATTGTAGCTTACCACCAAAAATCAAATGACCTTCTTATCAGGCCATTCAATATAGTCTTCTGCTTTTGGTTGGCGCCCTACAATAGTCTCATAACGCCCCTGAATATTCCAGCCATCTTCTTCATCATGGATAAAAAGACGATAGGCGGGACCTATGGAAGCTGGTTAATAGATAATCACCAGGAAATTTAAAATAACTTACTGCGAATAGGAGAATAGTCTTCAGAGCTATGTCGAACAATATCTTGAATTGTCTGGCATTTGCTGATGTCATGGACTTTGGTGACGAAGGAAGATTGGCTTGTGTCGACCTCGGGTGGATTCAGATCAGAGATGTAGGTGTGAATCTTGCCCGGGACTGGTTTCTCAGCAGGATTGTATGACAAGACATTCATATCATCCCAAACTGCATCTGCATCACCCATATTGAAGGTGTTGCCATGAGCTTTACCTCTAATGACTCCACCAGTTGAGCGCGACGAGCCATATGCTGGGATTTTCATCTTTGGCGGACTAGCCATGACCACATCTATAATATTGTTTCATAGAGAATAACAGACAGAAAGATAAATAATACCTTCATTACCTTGCCCAGGTTCTGCCTGATTTCTATTAGCTGTTCGTTCAGTTGGACATCCTGGAGATGTAGGGCCAACATCTGAAATGTCTGTTTAGCATCAAGGTATAGAATGATTATAAATATTACATGATACGATTCCGAGATACAAATATATAAGATAATAATACCACTTTCAGAGGGAATGACACTCATCCAGATGGGTGAGTGGCACACCCGATGTCAAGATGACATCTGCAAGTCAGGACAGTGGTGGGTTATCCACCATCCTGACAGCAAGAGGGGGAGGGCAGGAAAGGAAGGAGGCATAACACACCTGTCTTGTTCGTGGTGGGCTTGGACTTGGCTTTCGGCTTCAGCTTCGGTTTGGTGGTGTTCGCGTTCACGCGGGCATTGGGGACTCGTTCGTTGTTGGTGGTCTGCGTGTCGTTGGCGGTCTGTGTGTCGCTGGCGGTCTGCGTGTTGTTGGTGGTTTGCAGGTCATTGGCGGTCTGCATGTCGTTGGCAGTTTCCAGGTCATTGGCGGTTTGCGCAATACTTTACCCTCCCCGGGTTATTCCATGTGGAATCCATGGAATGGGGGGTGGACTGCAGAAATTCCAGATGGATTCCATACTTTTTCAATACTTTCCATTCCTCCACTGATTCCTACCGGATTCCGCGGATTCCGGCCAGAATCCAGGAATTCCGTGGATTCTGGCTGGAATTGACAGGAATCCAACTGGAATAGACAGAAATTTCAGTACGAATCTATACTTCTCAGTTCCCCCTACAATTCCACTTTAGCTAGATGTCATATGACTTAATCTGCACTTATCAAGACCTCGTGAATTACTTGTGTAATGCAGTCAGTCAATCTATTATTCTATTCTATGCTGATAACTTAAACTTAGGAATTGCTTATGATATTCAAATTTGAACATGGATAATTCAGGTGTATTCACTAGAACTACATGAGATTATTCTACTACAAAATTATCCTACTACATAGAGTGTTAAAGGGAGGGGGGAGGGATGGAGGGAAGGGGGAGAGGGGTGAAGGAGAGAGGGGTGAAGGGGAGAGGGGTGATGGGAGAGGGAGTGATGGGGAGAGGTGGTGGGGAGTGATGGAGAGGGGAGGGAGTGATAGAGGGGAGGGAGTGAGGGAGAGAGGGGGGAGGGAGGGAAAGAGGGGGAGGAATGGAGAGAGAGGGGGAGGAATGGAGAGAGAGGGGGCATGGAGGGAGGGAAGAGGGACAGAGGGAGGGAATAAGGATGGAG